CGTCTTTTTTCCACCCTTTTCTTTCCACGCAGTTTTTTTATTTTTCAGTCTCCCCTGACCCTCCTGTCCCCGGTGGTCAGGGCCCATTTCCCTTAATTTTCCTCATAGGACATTCCCTTTGCTCTGGAACTAAACCTTGTGCAAAACCCTTTTTACTTTTCTGTTTCTTGACGTGCTTTATCAAGTGGGGTTCCAAAAAGGTGGCAACTCAGTTGGGCCTGACTAAACGGTTTTACAGTGTCTTGAATGATTCCTTACTAAGGTATCGGAATGCTGTTTCAGGTTTGCCAGGGGGCCCCTATGCTGCGCAGGTTATTGATTTATGTGTGTTCGGGGACTGCTCGGTGTTATACTCACCCAAGTCTTTCTCCCTTTAGTGAGGTTTTTCAGTCTTTTGGGCCCCTAACCTTTTACTGTCTATGGTCTTTTGTGCCCCCCCCCCATCTTCATGCTTTGCATTTGCAGGATTAAATTCGAGAAGCAATTTTCTGGACCAGGTGTCCAGTCTGTCCAGGTTCTTTGAAATCCTGCCTGGTCCTCATCAATTTAATTCTCCCCATTAACTTCACATCATCTGCAAACAGGGGCACTTCTGAGCTAAAACCTTCCGTCTGTCGTTCACATATACCAAAAAAAAGCACTGGTTAGGACCGACCCTGGGGACCCCGTCGTCACAGGGGCCCACGTGATACTCATTACGTACCCTGACTCGTTGTTGCCTCCCTTCAGGGATTTTTCCCGACCATTGCATGCCCCTTTTGTTATATGCGCCTGATGCTCTAGTTCTGCACTAATCTCTTTTAGGAACTGTGTCAAAGGCCTTTTTGCAGTCCAAGAAAAAGCAATCAACCCCCCCTCTCTCTCTTGTCTTCTTCTGTTATTTTATCAAAAACTCCAGAAGGTTTTGACCAGGATTTTCCTTCCGTGAAACCGGTGGTTTGGGATTTATACTCCGTTTTCCCTTCCCGGTGCTCCACCCTCTCCTCCTGATAATTTCTCCATAATTTTTATACTTTTAAAGTAAAGACACAGGTTATAGTTTAGTGCCTCTTTTTTGTCCCCCTTTTTTTAAAAAAGGGAACTCATTTGCCGTCTTTTCCCTACCCCGGTAGTTGCCCTTTTCCCGGGTGTGTTGAAGATTGTGGGAAGTGGGACGCAAACATATCGCTCCCCCCCTAAAAGGGCCCCCCGGGGGGGATGTTGTCTGGTCCCATTGCCTTTTAGGTATCGATGTCCCCTTTGCAGTTTTTTCACCCCCTCCTCATCTGTATGTATGTCGTCCAACACTTTTTGGTGTATTCCTTGCTGGTGTCCCCCTTGGTTGTCCCCCAGAGTCCTTCCTGTCTCTACTGCAAATACTCCTTAAAACTCGTGTTGAGCTCCTCACATACCTCTTGATCGTTTTTGTGAGTTCTCCACCTTTTTCCTCAGCCCTTTTCACTGGTCCTTTACTGTTGTCTTCCTCCTAAGTGGCTATACAGCAGTTTCGGGTCGATTTGACTTTCATGCTATGTCGTTTTCATACTGTCGCTGGGGCCCCCCCCTCCCTTTTCTGTGATACTCGTTTCTGGCTTTCTACTAATCTCCTTGTTTTCCCGGGGCCCAGGGCCTCTGTACCCTTTTCCCTTCTCTGTTGCCTTAGTTTTTTTTCCTTCTACCCTTCGGGTAAACCCAAAGGGCTCGTTTTGGTTTCCTATTTTTTCCGTTTCCCCCTTTGGGGAACAAAAATTTCCCCTGCCTCCTTGCACTTTGTTGCCACATATTCCATCATCTCGTTTTCTGATTTTCCTACCATTTCTCTATCCCCCTGAAAATCCTGCAGGAAAAATTTTCATACTGTGTGTCCCCCCTTTTATATTTGGCCTTTTCCCCCTTTAGTTCCTGTTACCTTTTCCCCTTGTAACCTACTATATAGTCAAACTCAGAACCACATGATCGCTAGCTCCAAGGGGCCTTCATAAAAGTGTCCCCCAATGTCTGAACTGCTCGGGGGAAACAAAATCCCGTCTTGTGGCTCATCCTCCCCTCTCTCTCTGGTTGTGTCCCCGACATTTGATGCATGAGGTTTTCAAGTACCACATCCTTCTTGGCTCTCCATGTTTTGGGGCCCCATGTGGCTCCAGGGGGGTTTTCCCCGTCGATCTCCCCGTGGTTGAAATCGCCCATTACCAGTAACTTTGCTTGCCCAGTGAGCTCTTTTGCCCCTCAGCAGTGTTCCACCATCCCCTGGGTTTTACTTCGTGGTGTGTGTGGTTTGGTTGTGTGTGTGTGTGTGTGTGTGTTGTGTGTGGTGTGTGTGTGTTGTGTGTGTGTGTGAAGTGTTGTGCAGTTTGTGAATTTGGTGGAAAGGGGGTGTGGGGGGAAAACGGCCGTGGACGTGGGGGAGAATAAGGGTTCCCCGTATAAATTTCCGGCCAAGATTTTCGTATATACAAAACCCCGAAAAGCTCTTTAAAAAATTATTCCCACCATGCCCATGCTTTTCCCGTAAACTTAGAAAAAGGGTTGTGTCGTGCTGGGCTACTTAAAGGCTATGTAAGAAAAACAATGTGGGATTAATGTTAACGAGGGACGACCAGTCAGGGCTTCCCCCCCCACTCCTCGGGGGTGGGGGGAAGGGTTTTCGGGGTGTATCTAGATGGTGAGTGAACACATTGGTTCCAGTGCCCATACCCACATTGTTTATAGTGTACTGGGGGAAAAAATAATGTTTTTGATTTAAGCGTGTGAACAATATATAGTGTGCAAGTCCTGTGTATTGTACTCCCGGGTTTTAAACCCCCCCCCAACAACCTGGCCTCCCCCACCCAATTCCCAGGGGAAGTTTCCCCTTCCCCTCCCACCCCTCAAACTCCACCAAACCACGGGCAAGTTTACTACCTTTCCCCCACCTCCCCCCAGCCCCCTTATACTCCACTCCCATTTTTAGCTAGCAGAGGATGCCAAACCGGAGGAACAAGCAGCCAGGGATATGGCAGGCTGGGAATACTAGGAGGGCAAAAAGTCGGTCATGCTTTCAGCTTCGTTTTCTCAACTCTAATGGTTTTCCCCCGCAAAAAAAGGTATTGCCCTGGTTCAGGGTGTCCTCCTGTGGGGAAAATGATGATCCAGAGCCCCCTCTGGACCTGAACCCCCCCAACAATTATTCATCAGACAATATCTTGGAGGCAAAAAAGAACAGGGACCAGGACAACACATTTTCCCAAAACAGCCCTTCCCCACGCAGCTGGGAAAATTTCAATCTCCTGAAAAATAAACGATGGTTTTCCCCTATTTAAATGCTCCCTCAACCTCAAAACATGGCACAACTTTTTAAATTTTGTGGGAAGTTTGCTTAGCTGTGCCGGAAAGAAGGGGAAAAAGGCTAATCCAATGATAATTTTAAAAACCCTTTAAAAGAATTTTCCCCGAGCGATACCTATTCGCCTTCCCCCAAAATAAAAAGGGGGGGTAGACCCCCCCCCACTCCAATGACAGTGAAAAAGTCAGAGTCCGGGGGAGCAAGAAAATTTAAGAGGGAACACAGTGGGGGGGAATCAGAATTATTACCAGTGAAGATCAGTTGCTCCAGGGATTCTGAAAGGTGAAGCACTTTAGAGGAAAGCCCCTGCCAGGGAAACCAGTGGGACCAAAAAGTCCCCCAAAACCTCTGTCCCCACTGTGGAACCATTGATTGTGGGGACTCGACTTTACAAAGCAAAATGCATTCCCATCGGGGTCTGCTGGGGGGGTTAAATGGAATAAAAGGGCCCCAGCATTAAAAGGGGAAAGGTTAAACCATTATTGGGAAATTGCAGAGAAGCTTTCAGAGATCACAGGTTCGTCAAAAATTCTTGGGTGGTTATTCCCGATGAAATTAACCTTTCTTTTTTTTTTGCAACACTTTTTGCATTAAAAAGAAGGATGGAGGAATTAACCCAAAGCAGTAGGCAAAACGTTACGCCACCTCGTATCCAAAGTTGTCCAAGTATTTGTACAGGAGCCATGAAGCTTTAACCCAAACCAGCTTGACTTTGGGGCTCTCAAGGAAGTGAAGCGCGTTATGCAAAGGGGGTAATCAAAACCTGCCTGAGGCAATGCAGTGGTAAAATTTTGATTTAAGAATATTCAATTCCTGAAAAGAGATTGGATTAGCAGGACAAAAACATTTCCCCGTCACTTCCCTTTTTTTGCAGTGGGTATGCAAGGAAACAATGCTTCTCTTTGGAGGCATGAAATCCATCATCAAGGGGGGGTCCAAAAGGAGATCCTTTTGCACCATTTCTCTTCTGTACGCAGTTAGGAAATCACAGTCAGACTGCCAGCGAGCTAACATCTGGTTCCTAGATGATGGGGACACTACCAGGTAAAAGGAGTCCCTCTAACGTCTTACCAGGTAAGACCGGAGCAGAAAAATGGGTTCCCTCAAAAAACCCGGAGCGAAGTCATTCCCCCCCCAAAAGTGCTTTCTAGGGCACCTCGAGAGCAAGCCTTGACCAATTCTCAGGAAGAAATGGAAGAGTTAAGGGAAGGGAAAAAGAATAGGCAATCTGACACCCCCGATGCCTTGTACCCCCCCCCCTTCTCAAAAGTGCTTTTCGCCCAGGTTGCTTTTTCCCAAAATGTCACCTTATATGATAACCCCATACTGCCCGAAAAATGACAGTATCTCGAGGCAGATTTTACAAAATACTTAACCTTACTCTAGGGAAAACAGGCAGTGGAACCAAACTCGCTCCCGTCGATAGGAGGCATTGGGGTTGCAAGCTCCAAAAATTGGCTACCCGCTTTTTGTCCTCATTATTGCATCCAGAGGGTTGTAGCGCGATTCTCCCCGAAACATCTTAGAGACAAGATTTGGGAAACCAGGACCGAAAGTTATTTCGGGGCAGATCTGGGGTAATTAAAGGGCCTGAACCAAAACCTGCTTCCCCAAACTACAAACAACGCACTGGGGGGTGGTCCAAATGAAAAAGTGCCTAAAAAAATGCTTCGAGTGTGTAGGGAAGGATTGGGCCCACCTCCTGGCAGGAGAGCTCATCAGCAGGGAATTTGTTGGCTGTTCCAACTCCAGCCTTGGCACACGCCTCGACCCACGACCATCCGCTCGGTTTGCCCCTTTGACTTTCTGCCCCCATTTTTTCCCCCAAAACAGGTGTATTTGTGGCAGTGAAGCAGCAGACCGATTCAGATACCATGGGCTTGTGTCCGTAAATCCCCAGGGAAAGATTTCAAACTGAGGGGTTAATAACATTATCAAGAGGGGCCCAAACAGCCGAATGCCCGCATATGAGAGCCACCCCAGCTATGCAGATCGATGGCAGCCCGAAACATCCCGATGGTTCACCCTTTAAGCCTGGACAGAGGGAAACAGGTGGTGTGGGCTTACATGTGCATTACTTGGGTGATACCCACTCCCAAAACACCCGGGGGGAAGGGGGGGCAGCGCCACTTCAGGGAATCCCAAAAGTCAGAAAAATGGAGAAATTGCCAACATTTATGTTTGTTCCTAGGTCGAGACCCTTGGTCATGGAGAAAGAAAGCATTAAAATTCCCTTTAAGGGGTGGGAAAAGGACTCATCAGGGTAACTAGGGATCCCAGGCAGCTAGTTTTCTGTCCAGGGTCAGTGCGGCTGTTCAAAGGGGGAAGCCTGCTGTTTTTGGGCACAACCCCCCTTGAGGAGCTGGGGGAGATTTTCGCCCTTTAAACAGTGATACACACATAACAAATTTTACCCTATATGCCACCTTTATATAACAAATATCTCTTAAAAATTCATTACCCTTTATGTAACAAAAAAAATTTCCCATTGGTAAAAAAAATCGAAAAGTGGGGGGGTTGGGAGGGGAAGTGGGAATATTCAAAAGGCTTCAGGGAAAAAATCCAAATATTATTCCTTGAAGCCTTTTTATCCATTCTCTGTGGCTATGGGTCCACAATTTAACCGAGGGGGACCCCATCCCCTGCTCTTTGCTGATGCATGTGCTCTTGGGGGTCGAAAGAAGTTGCAGAGGGTTTGGGGGTGAAATTTTTTTGGGTATTAAAGAAGAAAAATTAAAAGTGAATACAGGGAAAAGTAAAAGGTATGAGGGTAACAAAAAGATTTGGGAAAAGATTGAAAATCAGATTGGGGGAGAGAGTTGGGGGGGGATGTATTCAGATATTTGGGAGTGGGGGTCACAGTGGATCTATGAAAAACAGGGAAACATAAATTTTGAGGGGAAAAGGGTGACGGTGCACTTAGGGTCTGTGGAGACAAAGAGCTTTGTCTTTGGGGGCAAAGAGGGGAAGTATGGGGGTATAGTTTTACCCAAAGCTCTTATTGGGTTGAGCATGGGTGAGAATGGGTTTCAGGAGGAAAGGGGAGGAGTGGGATGTCATGTCTTTGGGGAAGTGTGGTGTGATATAATGCAGAGAATTTGTAGTTTGGAAGTTAGGAGGGGCGGGATTACCCAAAATGTTTTCCAGAGGGCTGAGGAAGGGTTTTGAGGTGGTTCGGACATGGAGAGAAAAGGAGCGAAACAGAATGTTTAAGAGTGTATCGTCTGTAGTGGAAGGGAGGCAGGGAGGGGTCGGCCTGGAAAGGTTGTATCAGATGGTAGTGAACACTTTGGTTCAGCAGTGCCCATACCCACATTGTTATAGTGTAATGGGAAACAAATAATGTTGTGTGTATTGTAAGACAGTGTGAACAATATATAGTGTGCAAGTCCATGTGTATTGTACTCCCCGGGATAACCCCACTCAACAACCTGCGCCTCCCCCACCTAATTCCCAGGGGAAGTTTCCCCTTCCCCTCCCAGCCCCTCAAACTCCACCAGACCACCACGGTCAAGTTCACTACCTTCCACCCACCATACCCACCCAGCATGTCATACTCCACTCCTATTGTCTAGTCTAGCAGATGGATGCCAACCAGGAGGAAGCAAGCAGCCAGGGATATGGCACGGCTGGCAATACTAGGAGAGGCAAGTGTCGGTCATGCTTACAGCTTCGTTGTCTCAACTCTAATGGTTTCCTCCGCAAACATGGTAGTTAAGAACATAAGAACATAAGAACGAAGGAACACTGCAGAAGGCCTACTGGCCCATGCGAGGCAGGTCCAAGTCCCTACCGGCTTAAGCCAATGCACCCAACCTAGTCAGGTCAGGTCACACTGACTTAAGGGAGGAACACGGCAACCGACCTGTTAGCACAAGCTATCAGGTCTAACTCACACCCACCCACATCTACTCATGTATTTATCCAACCTATTTTTAAAGCTACACAACGTTCTGGCCTCTATAACGGTACTTGGGAGTTTGTTCCACTCATCCACAACTCTATTACCAAACCAGTACTTTCCTATATCCCTCCTGAATCTGAATTTTTCCAACTTAAAACCATTGCTGCGAGTCCTGTCTAGGCTAGATATTTTCAGCACACTATTTACATCCCCTTTATTTATTCCTGTCTTCCACTTATAAACCTCAATCATATCCCCCCTAATTCTACGTCTTTCTAGAGAGTGCAGTTTCAGGGCCCTTAGTCTATCCTCATAGGGAAGGTACGAATAGGCAATCTTGACACCCACGATGCCTTGTACCTTCTCACAAAGTGCTTGACTCTGCCCAGGTTGACATATTTCCTAAGATGTGCACCTTCATATGATAACCCTATACTGCACGAATATGACAGTATCTCGAGGCAGATTTTTACGAAAGTACTTAACCTTACTCTAGAAGACAGGCAGTGGAACCAAGCTACGCTCCCAGTCAGACTAGGAGGCATTGGTGTCTGCAAGTCATCACAGATTGCGCTACCTGCTTTTCTGTCCTCATTATTGCATCCAGAGGGCTTGTAGCAGCGATTCTCCCTGAACATCTTAGAGACAAGATTGGAATCCAGGACCGAAAGTTTATTGACGGAGCCATGATCTGGGATAATCTAATGGGCTCTGAAACCATACCTGCTTCCCCCAACAACTACAAACAATCGCACTGGGATGGTCCAGTAGTGAAAATGTAGCCTCAACAATGCTTCAGAGTGTGTCAGGGAAGGATAGGGCCCACCTCCTGGCAGTGAGAGCTCATCATGCAGGGAACTTTCTGTTGGCTGTTCCCAACTCCAGCCTTGGCACACGCCTCGACCCACAGACCATCCGCATCGGTGTTGCCCTTCGACTTGCTGCCCCTATTCTCGCCAAACACAGGTGTATTTGTGGCAGTGAAGCAGCAGACCGATTCAGATACCATGGTCTTGTGTGCCGTAAATCCGAGGGAAAGATTGCAAGACATGAGGAGGTTAATAACATTATCAAGAGGAGCCTCACAACAGCCGAATGCCCAGCAGTATGAGAGCCACCCCAGCTATGCAGATCTGATGGCAGCCAGAAACATCCAGATGGTATCACCCTTCAAGCCTGGACAGATGGGAAACAGGTGGTGTGGGGCTATACATGTGCATCTACCTTGGCTGATACCTATCTCCAATACACCAGGGAGGAAGGAGGGGCAGCTGCCAGCTTCAGGGAATCCCAAAAGTCTAGAAAATATGGAGAACTTGCCAATCATTATATGTTTGTTCCCATAGGCTCAGAGACCCTTGGCTCATGGAGAAAGAATGCATTAAAATTCCTTAAGGAGCTGGGAAAAGGACTCATCAGGGTAACTAGGGATCCCAGGGCAGCTAGTTTTCTGTTCCAGCGGCTCAGTGCGGCTGTTCAAAGGGGTAATGCCTGCTGTATTTTGGGCACAAGCCCCAGCTCTGAGGAGCTGGAGGAGATTTTCGCCTTATAATCAGTGATACACACATAACAATGTGTACCATATATGCCACCTTTATATCAACAATATATCTCTTAAATATTCATTACCATATTATGTAACAAAATATTCCTATTGGTAAAAAAAATACGAAAAGATGGGGTGGTAGGGGAAGTGGAATATTCAAACGGCTTCAGGAAGAAATCCAAATATTATTCCTTGAAGCCTTTTTATCCACTTCTCTGTGGCTATGGGTCCCACAATTTACACCAGAGGTGGACCCCATCCCATGCTCTTTGCTGATGACACTGTGCTCTTGGGAGATTCTGAAGAGAAGTTGCAGAGGTTGGTGGATGAATTTGGTAGGGTATGTAAAAGAAGAAAATTAAAAGTGAATACAGGAAAGAGTAAGGTTATGAGGATAACAAAAAGATTAGGTGATGAAAGATTGAATATCAGATTGGAGGGAGAGAGTATGGAGGGGGTGAATGTATTCAGATATTTGGGAGTGGACGTGTCAGCAGATGGATCTATGAAAGACGAGGTGAATCATAGAATTGATGAGGGGAAAAGGGTGAGCGGTGCACTTAGGAGTCTGTGGAGACAAAGAGCTTTGTCCTTGGAGGCAAAGAGGGGAATGTATGGGAGTATAGTTTTACCAACGCTCTTATATGGGTGTGAGCATGGGTGATGAATGTTGCAGTGAGGAGAAGGCTGGAGGCAGTGGAGATGTCATGTCTGAGGGCAATGTGTGGTGTGAATATAATGCAGAGAATTCGTAGTTTGGAAGTTTAGGAGGAGGTGCGGGATTACCAAAACTGTTGTCCAGAGGGCTGAGGAAGGGTTGTTGAGGTGGTTCGGACATGGAGAGAATGGAGCGAAACAGAATGACTTCAAGAGTGTATCAGTCTGTAGTGGAAGGGAGGCAGGGTAGGGGTCGGCCTAGGAAAGGTTGGAGGGAGGGGGTAAAGGAGGTTTTGTGTGCGAGGGACTTGGACTTCCAGCAGGCATGCGTGAGCGTGTTTGATAGGAGTGAATGGAGACAAATGGTTTTTAATATTTGACGTGCTGTTGGAGTGTGAGCAAAGTAACATTTATGAAGGGATTCAGGGAAACCGGCAGGCCGGACTAGAGTCCTGGAGATGGAAAGTACAGTGCCTGCACTCTGAAGGAGGGGTGTTAATGTTGCAGTTTAAAAACTGTAGTGTAAAGCACCCTTCTGGCAAGACAGTGATGGAGTGAATGATGGTGAAAGTTATCCTTTTTTGGGCCACCCTGCCTTGGTGGGATATATATATATATATTATATATATATATATATATATATATTATATATATTATATATATATATATATATATAAGAATATAAGAACGAAGGAACACTGCAGAAGGC